GCCGAAACTGAGGCCTATTTTGAAGCAAAGGACAAATCGTACTACAAAAATGGTATCGAAAAGTTGGAGGATCGCTATAATCAGTGTATCACCCTTGAAGGGAATTATGTTGAATAAAAAAAACGAATTTTGCAAAAAAAATGTGTTTTACTATTTTAGGCCGGGGACTTTTCAATTGACCTGTTACACACGCTATCCTGTTCTCGGGGTGGATAGTCGCTTTAGAAAACGTGTTTTAAAAATTTGCACCTACTTGCAATGGTTTTCTAGAGTAGTTGGCGAAAGCTAAATATTTCGAAGTCAAAGCAATAAAAAATATACTTAAAAATTTTCTCTCAAAAAGGTCATTCTAACAATAAGAAGTTTCTGTATTTATGACCTTCCTTCAGACAAGTTGTAACAATAGCAATATCATTTCAAATAGGCATGTATAACTGTAGCGTGTTTAATGTGTAAAACAGAAAATATCTATCTATTTCATAATATTGCGATATGTATATATATGCTATTATCACATTAAAATGTTATTGTTTTTTTGAGAAAGTTGATAAGAGGATTGTGTTTGTAATATCATCTTCTTATTACTTAGAAATATTTATAATGAATGGGATGAATAATAAAGGAAACATTTTGAATGCTATTTTAAGTTTTCGTCGAGATTTACAATTCGTAATATAATCGTGTAACGTTCGCTAAATTTCCAGCTCACTCAGATCGGAAATGCCCTTTTAGTAAACATACACGCTGTGGGTGAGTCATACATCCATAATTCTTTCTTTTTTTTTATTCAAGTAAAGACATGTCGTGACCTGGTTTCCCTTTTATCAAATAGCTCATGTTTACTCACTGGCACTGGCACGACATGTGTCCGTACCTATCTCATTCGCGTAGAAAATGAGATGTACACGCCGTGTACACGCAAACGGTTATTCTATTAATAATGAGTCATTTTAAAGAACAGAGGTTGAATTTAATTACATTCATATGTTTGTCGTCGTAAAGTAAATCATAATTTTAATCGAGTCTCATTCCGTTGTGACGTGACTCACGCAGGTTTCTTGACGACTTATTACTGTTTCTTAAGAAATAAATGTACATAGAGTATTTCATTACCGGTTACATAGGCGTACAAAATAATGACAATGTAAAATGATAATACCGCTTTAAGTAACTTCAGATAAATCGATATGTATATTAATATCCAGAGCAAGATAGCGTGGAATATACACGTGCATATTATGTTGCAAACAATATTGCTACTGAGGTGGTGCTCATTTTCCGAAAGTAGATATGGAGATGGAAAAAGGCAAGCTAATAAACTATAATTTAATTTTTCAAAACAAATAATAACTCATATCTCGTAATATGACGACCTCAAAAGTTCCTACAAGTGGCTTCTCTGGAAAAAAAATCCGTTTGGCATTCACATCATTGGAGATGCAATGAGATTTCCACAAATTAATTAAAATAATTATACAACCTTTAAAATAGCATTAAGTTTACCTAGAGAGGTTTGGAAGAGATATTCCTAGAGTACTGCAGCGGTTCACCAAGGAGCTAGGTTTTGAAACTCCGTTTCCAAAGAAGTCAAAAAGGGTGGTAATGGTAAAGTACAAAATGACCTAGAACAATGTAACCACTTAGATGACATTTTTTACTATTCCTTGGTTTACTGCACACGACCTGATTATTAATATCTGTGTTCTTGAATGATCAAAACTGTTAACTTACCTACTCTTTTATTGTTTTGTATGTGCTCTCCTACTTCATTCTTGATTTTGGCAGATGCGGTAGGTCGTATAGTTTTCCTTGATTCATCCATATAAATAGTCTAGACATAATAAATCGTAGATATAATACTCTCACAAAGTCAGGAATTTATTTTCATCGTATGAATTTCGTATACATGGAATTTCGGGAATATGCTGATCCAGTTAAGGTAATATTACTTTTACTTATTAGCAAAACAAAAGTCAAATAAATTGTCTTAAAAACAAAGTGCCACACTTGCACACTGCAGCAGCATACGAAATCCCATTTACAAAAATTTACATAAGGGAAACTTGAATGCCAAAATAATGTCAAATTAAAACACAACACTCAATCAAACATAGCAGAATACCAAACTGAAACATTATGTACTAACCTTTTTAAGAAATCAAGCATTATGGCTACAAATTCTTCGTTAGATGTTAAGATCATAAATATTCCAACAACTTTAACCAATATAAATAATCTTATTTGACTTACTAACCAAAAAACTTATCAATTACGTATCGTATGCTGTACACTTCAACTCTAAAATGTCTATTTACCTTGGTACAAATTCTTCCATGTTTTTCTTAGATAATTTAGAAAATGTTAGGAGAGTGACATTCCCTAAATAATCGTTTGCCGCTTTTCCGTCTGATATATTTTTCTCTAACCATCCACTCCCACAATTCCTAAAAAAAGGATGAAGGAGGCATCCCGCCCTATACTTAATCTTTACACTACAGCATAGGATAGAGGAACTATTCCAGCAAACGAAAATAAAACACGCAAAAGTTTTTCTGTCTAAGAACGTTAGTTCAAGTCTGCCCTGATGAAGTGAACTGCAATGCTCACGAAATATCGGCATAAAACAAAACCCATACGACTGAAATCCGGAAAAATTAGTTTTAGTAGGGAATGTCTTGATTTTTTTAATTAGTAAGAATTATTTTTTGATAAGCAACTCAATATATTCTTAAAATAAGCATTATCATGACTACTACAGGTGTCCACACTTCAAAGGAGCTCAGTGGGAAGTGAAACAATTCACATTAAAGATATCTGGTTAGATAATTGGTATAGGTATACCTATACTATTATTTGTCCACATTATTTCACCCTTATGTTACCTGAAGTTGAAATAAAGACAACAAATTTATATAATTTTGAAATTCTATATTTTCCTGAAAACCGACGTATACATTTTATCCTAACGGGCTGCGTTCGGCTTCGTTTGAAATGGAAGTTAAAGATCAAAAGAAATAAGTAAATATTTGGAACAATTAAACATTTCAGGAGTTCTTAAATATATGTTTGCTCCAGTGAATCAAAATTCATAAATTATTCTCAATAATCTATGATTACACTCACAGAGAGGACGTAAAAGCATTTACGTCATAATGCTAATCAGCCCAAAAATAAATACATAATATATCTGCGTCTGACGCATATACCAAATTGTTTTTATCAGAGCTGACTTTCAGTACCGAAAAGCTGCCGCCTACTAAAGAAAATATAATATAATGACTGTAATGTAAACGAATAAAGATAAAAGTAGTGAAACATACGCAAAACTGAGTAATAATGACTCAAATTACGTGGATTCTAATACTGTATCAATTGTTTACCTGAAAATTATTTATTGATTTGGTATTGTCATCCGTCACGATAAAGGGAATATATATTATTTTAACTCATGTAGCCATTATCTCTATTATTCTTTGTACATATAGAATATAGATTCTGACTGACTGACATAATCAAGACATAACCGGAAGGAACTATTAGTTCGATTAGAAAGGAATTTTGGGGGTATATTAGTCCAGGAAATAGAGATTTGAAAATGCGCTAATACACAACAGGAAACGAATTATGCTGGGCTGTAGGAAATAATACAGGGAACACAATGTGCTAAATTAAAACGCTCAATTATTTGTCAAAAGTAGGGTTTGTTGGTTTTTAAAAATCGGTTTTTTGGAGAAAATTATGAAATTCGAAAACCGGTTTTTTAATAGATAATATCGGTTTTCAATGTATGAATAACACTTAAAAAAAATTGAAAATGACAAATGTAGCCAAATGTACCAGACTGATGAAAACACTGTTGCAAGCGGTTTGGTTCTTGGAATGATATCGGTTGCAAGCGGTTTGGTTCTTGGAATCATATCGAACCGGTATAAACGGTGTGTTTTGTCTATTGGTTGAATTAATTTAGATTTTATATCAGTTTGATAGTTTTTATTTAAAGGAACCGGAAGAAGTGGCTCTGGAAGCCACAAATAAAAGGACAAAAAATTTAGAATTATTATATCAGGCTTTAAAAACGATTAAGCCTAGTTCGGTCGCAAGTGAGAGGGTATTTTCTATTTCGGGGAATTTTGTGAATAAACGAAGGACACGACTAAATAGCAAATCGATAGACGTCCTCTGTTTTCTGAAATCATATTTCATTAAACAAAAAAATAAATAGAATATTTAAATTTGTATTAAAATTGTCCGAAATAGAAAATACTTGGTCCTTTGCTTAATTGTCTTTAAAACTAAAAATGATTTTAATAAGTATGTATGCATAAACTTTATTTACTCTTGTCTTTCGGCTTTGATTATAATTTACATTATATAATACACAGTTATATATTTTCTAATTGTTTTTAATAAGTATCCATCTGTATCTAATAACATTGTTTTTTAAAAAAATAATATGGTTATTATAAAAATATGAAAATATATTGTTTTTATTTATTCGAACCCTTTGCTGAATAACTCGTTTCACTATTATAAAAATATTTACATCCTTATATGTGAAAATTATGCATAAACAACGAATAATTGTTTTTAAAGTTATTTAATCCTGGTCAACTATTATTTCTTTGTTCTACTAAATTGCATAAAAAAATTTTACTATCATTAAAATCGAACAGTACATAATTTCAGTCAAAACTTGCTTTTAATCACTCTAAATTTTCTGTTAAAATTTTTTGTTCGAATTACAGAATATTCGAGCAAAAAATGTTTTCATAAAACTTCGAAAGCGGTTAAAACCGGTTTTCTGGAAAAATTACTATTCGAAAACCGGTTTTCTAAAATGTCGCTTTTTGTATAAACCCTAGTCAAAAGAAATTGACGTTGAAAGAACCGTGAAAAAATGTAAAAAGTTTGCCTTTTCTATTTATGTTGGATACTATGGATCAATTTGGATTAACTAAAATACAAAAGTTGTGAAAAATCAAAATACCTTCAACACGGACCGCAAACGAATTTGATTCGGGCTTCTTTGGCCACGAATATGCTTTTCTTTTTTAATTTTAAACTTTTCGCTTTTATTTTGCTGTGGATTCTGACGGATTGATAGTTTTCGAGTAATAACAAATTGAAACTTTAAGGGCTGATTTTTAAAGGCTCACCTTTACTCTATCGAAATTTGCATTACGAACACTAAATGATTATCTAAAAATCGTACATGACAGTTTATTGTGCCATTAAAATGGTATAAATGGATTTGAAGGTTGGGTGTTATCGAGCCGCATGGGGGTTGATGTATTGGAGAAACGCGGCACGGGTGCGGAAAGGTAGGCTGTCCCCACACGTCCCGCGTGACCCTTGCTGGGTGTAACAATCTACTACTGCATGCGTACAACATTTGTTATTGCTAATTACTTTTTAATTGAATTTCATTTTTCACTTTTTTCGGACGGGACACTCAACCTGTAAACCCTTTTAATTATAACGAAAAATTATGGGGTACGATTTTTATCCGTGATGCAAATTTGGATTGGACTTAGTTTAGAGTAAGGGTAAGCCTTGAATCTTGAAATTTCAATTGATGATTACTCGAAAACTATAAGACAGCCAGAAGCCACATAGTAAATACATTTAAGGCTATTGTCTGGAGCAAAATACAAACTAAAAGTTACAAATTAAAAAGATTGTGAATTTTAGATTAATGTTATTTCTGGTTTATGCTTTATTTCTTTTAAATGAAACTTATTTATTTATATACTTGTTTATTATGTGTAATATATTTTTTTAAAGATAGCTACGTATTAAACGATAAGGTGGGATTAAAAATACATTTTCCATTCAATATGCTTTTCGTGGTTCAAATACTACACCGTTCCACGCCGCTTTCTAATGAAAGCCATTCACCTCTTGATAGTAATCTGACGAATAATTGAGGCCTTAATAAATAATACATAAACAAACACAAATGACAGTTAAAACAGCAACTGTATCATTAAGCAAGACAATACTTGTTTAAAATGAAAATTTGATTTCGTTAAAAAGAAATTTTAAAACAACCAATTAATCACTTTGAAAACTTCATGGTTCAGAAATAATGATGCACATATCTACAGTATCTGTCCAAGACGAATTATTAATGTTATAATTATCTTAGTATGTAAACAATGTATGGTAGTAGTCACTTCCAGTAATTGAATAGGAGCAGTCCAAAAAAAATATATGCAGATATACCTAAAATAAATTCCACAAATGTCACAATGAGAATTATTTTCGTTTCTATGAGGAAAAAGATATTTTGGAAAAATAATGTGATTAAAAAAAAAAACAAAATCATCAGAAGAAATTGCCGTTTTGTGTTGTAATTTAGAAAATTCACAGGTTACCCTGTATATCCTAAACTATAAATATTACAGACAAAACTTAAATTATTACATTTTTAGAGTGGAGTATTAAATTTGACGTGGTAAAAATTTAGTTAGCAAAAAATTTTAAATTATTATTGAAATAGATGAAAATTTAATATCACAGGGTAAACTAGAAAATTTGTGAGAGAATATATGCATTACAGATTACATTTGTACTTTTAATGTTTCATGCAGGAGTAGCTTTGGTGTTCAAAAACAAGTTGGCCGGCTACCGAAACTAATATACCAAGTCAAAAATGGAAGACAAGTGCTACATTTGCCCAATGGGAACCAATTTGTCTATTAAGTTATTACCAAATTACAATCGACTGCGAAACCCATCTACGGATCGTTATGGAATTCTTTGATGGAATTGAGTGACCGGATGCTGGCTAAGGATAGGATGTAGTTTGGATGGGCT